GTACCGTGAAGTCCTGGCTGATGTAGTTGCGAGATGCTCCGCAATCGATCAAGGCACTGCAGGTCGCCTCTCCGATCTGAATGCGTATGTATAGCAATGGTGCGTCGATGTCGTCGTACCGTTGCGTCTTGAACTCGCGGTCGATCTTCGCGATGAAAGCGTGAAGGTCGACAACCTCTGCTCCGGCGTCCATCAACGGAGCTGGTACTGCAGTGTGCAAGTAATCCCGCAGTTGTGCCATAAGCACATTGCAATGCAGTTTCGGCAATCGTCCGGTCGAGGGAACGRGCATCCACTGGAAGTCTGTGAACGTCAACGGATCGAGCTCATCAAKTCTTGACCATGACGTCGAATTCCCGGCGATAGATTGCCGCGAAGCTGCCGAATCGGTTGCCGATGGTGATGAAACCGTGCATGCGGTRGACTGTTGCACGTGGAGCGGTTGGTCCAGCGGTGGAACCAAGTGGACAGCATAATCCTCGTAAGTATACCGAGGACTTGCGACATTCGCATCCTCTCCAGATGTGCAGGAGGCTGGTAGCAAGGCGGCCGAATCTGGCGGAGTAGAAGGTGGCGTCGCCTCACCTTCTGCGGAGCTCAGTTTCCCGAGCTGAGGCGGGGTCGCACATCCTCCTTGCCCCGATCTTGGCACAGGGAGGTCTTGTGCTTGGTGCTGTTGCACCAATAGCAGCTGCCGTAGCGGCCGCGGACTTTGTACTCCGCCTCGGTCAAGCCAAACTTGACCCATGGAAACTGTCTTGGCTATCCATTTCCGGCCTGCTGGGTTATCTCCACTGTCCTGCTGGACTGCAGCGAAGTGCTGCTGTCGCGGACCAGTTCGTACCTTCTCCACATAGGTCGGCTGCCATGTTGATTTCTCGTGTGCAGCTGACCTGTTGGTCTTGATGATCTCCCTCGCTTTGTCAATGATCTCCGCGAAGGTTGAGTACTGCTCGCGATCACCAAGAGCCTGGCTCAATGCCGCACATGACCTATTGTTGAACTCACGGCGTAGATGCTCGAATGGTAGGTTCAGATTGGGCACAGCCGCAATCTTCTGCCACTCCGTGAGCCAGTCCCGTGTTGCTGTGTTGCCCTGTGACATGGTGAGCAAATGGTTGATGGCGAGTGCCGGCGCGTCGTCGACGATGAACCGCTTCTTCCACAGCCGTGTTAGTTCCTCCCATGTGATTACGTCCTTTAAGTCTGGTACGTCGACGCCGTGGGAGGTTGCCAGGTGGTTGAGTTCAGGAACAGGGCGCCGATGTACGCATGCTTGGCTACTGGCAGAATCMTGAGTTGCGTTGTGAATGCTTCCCACCAGAGGACGGGATCCTGCTGCGTGTAGTCGTCGAACCTCTCCAGGTTGAAAGTTGGCATCTTGTACATCTTCGGATTGTCGTCCGCGTTCGTCGATTGCAGCTTCTGGACCTCGGTCTTCAATGTATGCAGCTGACTGCTGATGGTGGTGGTCGGCGCAGCGAAGGTGCTGATGTCGCCGAGCATTGCGACTACGTGGTCAACGTGGTCATCCAGTTGGCGGCTTGAGGGTGCACTGCTGGAAGCTCCAGCAGCTGGTCCTGGTACTGCCTGTTCCAGGTCCAACAATCGGGCATTGAGTGCCCGAGTTGCATCCTCGTGGCTCTGCACTGTGCGGCGGAGCGTCGCCAATTCCTGATGCTGTCTCTCCAACTCTGACCTTTGGTAGTTGCAAGCATACAACAACCGTGTCACGAGTTTGGAGAGGAACTCCTTGTGCTTTTCTTTCGGTGTTGCGTCGTCGCCGTTCGGTTGAAAATGCCAGTACTTGAGTCTGTCGATGCTGTTGGATTCATGCCGCTGCAGCAGATCCTGGGCTTCCTTTCGGCGAGCCTGGGCATCTGCTTCTGCATCGGCCTATAGCCGCAGTTTCTCTGCTGCTGCTGCCTCTTCAGCTTGTATGTGGGCAGCCTCGACTGCCAGCAGGCGTTGTTCCTCAGCCTCTATCTGAGCGAGGCAACGCTGCTTGTAGGCGGCAATGGTCTCATTGGCCAGTTGGCCTGGCAGGCCCGTCATGTTGTTGACGTGGCAATGCTGCTTACGTGGCAATGCTGATGTAGCACTGCGTCTGACGTGGTACTGCTGACGTGGCACTGTGTTGAACGTCACTGCTGACGTGGCACTGTCTGACGTGGCACTGCTTACGTGGCACTGTATGTCTGACGTGGCAATGTGACCTGGCACTGCGGACGTGGCACTGCTGATCTGGCACTGCGTATGTGGTACTGCTGATCTGGCACTGTGACGTGGCGCTGCTGACGTGGCACTGTGACTTGGCACTGTGACGTGGCACTGTGACTTGGCACTGTGACGTGGCACTGATGACGTGGCACTGCTGATCTGGCACTGCTGACGTGGCACTGTACCGAAACGGGATGCATGCAAGGGGTGGGTGGGAGGGAAAACGGAGGGAGGTAACCAACCCAACAATGCTTTCCTCCGGCCCTAATCAACAGATAA